GATGATCTAGATCAGCGCCGCTCTAAACTGTAGTTGCACCCAACAATTGCGCGGAGTCGTGCAGTTGCTCAGCTCCTGCAGTTGCCGCAACAACCTTGTGACTGTAGTTGTCCCACACTATTTTGTGAAGTCGCAGTTATTTGTATTCACAAATTTCAGCAATTATTCTAATTATTCACGTCAGAAACCAGTCTCTTCACGGTTTTATCGGTGTACGTTACTTAGGTGGATAAAAATGCGTATGAGATGTTTTACGTTTATAGAAGTTATGCAAACACATCTGAAAGGCAAACATCATCGTAATCTGCACTCTGCCAAAAGCAGTCGAAGGAATACATCATCTTTTTTGAATCAGCGCTTTCACGTAGGAACGAATTTCCTAATTCATAATAACTAAGATCGTTTACTAATATAGATACCACTGGACCAACTTATCAGCAGTACTCAAGTTGCTTTGACGGATCGGGGTATATACATATTGACCAAGACTTTTTCTTGCAAATTTTCACTACAAAATATTTGCTGTGTAGGACGAATTGAGACAAACTGACATATGTGAAAAAATACAAAAAATTTAGACATTTTTCCTCTTGTTCAGTGCTACAACTATACGCAAGATCAATCTTCTTCTGCTTGAGAGTGTCTGGGTAGCAATTTATTTAAGAGTGTCTAGGTAGACATTAAAGAAATTAGACCTGGGAATCTTCAGAGAAATGTTGCTAGTTTCAAAACAGATATCTTTTCAGGTATTGCACTATGCTTGTGAGCTATTCGAGGGGCTAAAAGCGTATCGTGGCGCCGACAACCGTATTCGCATGTTTCGCCCAGAGCTCAATATGGCCAGGATGAGAAGGTCTGCCAAGCGAAGCACGCTGCCAGATTTTGACGGAAATGAGTTACTGGAATGCATAAAAGAACTAGTAAGCTTGAAGACCAAATTCTTGGTGCATTTGTTCCGGCTTCTATAAAATATCAACTTCCCACGCTTCGCAGCATTCAAACAAGCTTGTTACTAACCTACCGGCGACCATAGCGCACTGATAAAAAAGGAGTCCGACAGTACAAGACAAAGTGGTAAGTGATGACTTCCAAACTACATTAGGTAGTAGAAAATTAGCATTAGGTACCGGGCTCAGAGAGCACAGTTGATCTGCATTCTACACCTAGCACTACAGTGTAAGAGTAATTTCTAGTTATTGCCAGGTTCTTTGACCTCTACTGCTCCTTCTATCGGTGGTGTTTTCAACTGCCACCGCTTAACTATGTTGTAAACACCAAAGATGATCTACGAGAAGTGACTGATGAGTTGATGTGCAAAGATCGCGACTATAGAGCGTTCGATATTCGAAGTGCGCCGCTTCTGATCGCGGCTTTGTTTAGGTAAAGTAATTCCGCCT